TTCCTACCGTGGCTATGACCATCATGATCGTCGCAGTCGTGATTCTTCTTCTTGTTACTCTTTCCCTTACCCTTGTGGTCGGCGGAGGGTATCCTCCTCCTGCCACCGTCGTCGGAATCGGAGTCTGAGTCTGAAGAAGAATCGGAAGACGACTCATCGCTGGATTCGTCGACACCTTTGGGACGGTGGTAGATGCAGCAGACTATTGACAAACTATCAGCGATTGAATATGCGCAGAGAAAGGCGGCGCAGGCTTACCTTTTGAGCTCTTGCGTCCAAGACCCTCATTGTCGACAACGTCCTCCGCCCACCTCACCGACGGCCTGGAGGGCGCATGCGCACCCCTCAGTCGCAAGATCGCCTGCGTACCAGTCCGGCTCTGGGTATTCGTCGTCTCCGTCTGCGTTTGCGACGGGCCAGGAGTCGAGCGCTGTTGTGGATCTTGCACGGCCGCCATGTTCGCCGTGTGGTGACAGAAAGACAAGTCGGTGTGTGTGGTTGGTCGTGTGCCGTTAAATGAGGCGTTCCGCACCAATAAATCTTCAGTCAGATTACCCCGCGGAAATTTCTCGAATGGCAGAATGCGCTGCAGCACTGAGTCGTAGTGTTGCTGCGGTTTCGTGCCTGAGAGTCAAAAGCTGCGTGGATCTGTCGCGGTGAGGAGGATCGAAGATATTCAGGGGTCGTCGTGGTTTGTAATTGGTGTTTGGGGGAGGCTCTAGAACATTGGCCTGCGAAAGAAGGTGGGATGCTTTTTTGTTATTTTTCTGGCATGCAGCTGAAAGTCCATGGTACCCCACGTCATTCACTGGCCCCACATCGGAGGTACACCCGGTCCAGCCGCCCGATGGCACGCCGGGGTCGTCAACTTCCGGAACCGGGGGTGTCAACGGTCCGGGCCGATATGTTAACAGTAGCTTTTCTTCGTCGTTGGTATTGAAAGCAGGCTGAAACATTGATGGAATTACAATCGCTGATTCCGAGGGCAGTTGATGTCATGATGATATTTCTGGGCTCATCTCATACAGTCGATGTAGTCGAGTGTCTTTGCTAAACAATCGGCGTTACAACTACCCGTGTTTCCTTTACTGCCACGGCCAAACTGCCTATAGCTTGCGTGGTCCCTGTCATCGTCACTTGGTTACACAGCCCTTTTCCAATCAACACATCAATCATACAATGAACTTTCGTTATTCATGTCTTCAGATGATGTACATGGAGTGATGATGTACAGAATATGCTACAATTACACAGCGCTACGACGCAGCAGCAGCCCTCTTGGCCTGCTTCGCCGCCTTCTTCGCACCCTTCATACTCTTACGAGGACGGGCCTTGATGTCCTTCTTGGGCGGCTTGTTGATCAGCCACGCGTTCATGGGAAGACGCTCGCCAATGAACTTGCCCTCGGGGGAATAGACCTCGATAACGGGCCAATTCGGCTCCGGCTTCTCGGGCTCTGCGGCGGCCTTGGGCTTCTCCTTCAACACGGCATGCTGCTCTGCTGCCTGTTCCATTTTGAGAAATGGATCAGTAGCCTCAGCTTCAGGTTCGGGTTCAGACTCCTCCAGAGACTCCTGCTCGGATTCCTTGGGGAACGAGGACATCCCGTCGAACAGGTGCCTCGTCCGCACCTGTGCTACGATCTCGATCCAGCCGCAGCCTTCGATGAGGATGTCGGTGGCCAGGACACGCCACGGGAGGTCCTCGACCTTCATGTTGCCAACGTCCTTGCGAGTCAGAGGGCCAGAGCGCTCCTTGGTCACATCATGACTGAGCTTGAAGGTTCCGGCAAGCTTGATTGTCTCACCGGTACCTTGGACAGTGAGCTTTTCCACCTTGAGGGGCGCCTCTCGCGTCTCCGCTTGGAACTCGATGGCCTTTTCGGTGGAGGTCTTGTGTTCCGGGAGAGGTGTGAAGTTGTATGCAAGGAAGACCAGACCGGGAGTCTTCGGGGTGATGCGAATCAGACCGCCGCCGAGGATGAGAGACTGTTTGGTGTTTAGGCTATGCTGCTGCGGCTTGATTCTTGACTCCATGACCAGGGACGACCTGTGTTCAGGCTTCACGTAGTTCTCCAGGTTCGAACGAGCAACACCAGGAAGATCAATCAGCTCGCCCTTTCCGTTGCCGAAGGGTATGCGGATGGGAGATGCCGTAGTGCCAGGGAGAGCTGAAACCGTAGGCATCTCTGGGTAGTTGGTCTCTGGTCGAACGGGCGGCAACATGGACGTCTCATCCAGGCGCATGTCGTCTTCCACATCTTCCGTCACATACCGCTCATTCGGACCGTCCTCCTCTTTCGCGAAAAGGGAAATGTTGATCGGGGTTTTCAGGGAGATGCCGGCGGTGGTACCCTTGGGAAACACAGCATCGAACAGCTGGCTCTTCCCGACATTGACTTTACCAACCATCCACCCAGCCCCTCCACGTTTATAAATCTTGTCCTTGAGCGGCTTGGTCCACCATCCCCTCTTCGCGCTGACACAGCTCACGTTACCGAGCGTGACGAGCTTTCCGAACTTGCCCAAGGAGCGGCGAAGCACCTCGCGCATGTACGGCATCATCTTGTCCACCATCTCCGCCTGTGGCGCGAGCAGATCTGACCGGGTAATGACAAAGTCTATGTTGAACATGCGATCCCTGTAGTACCGGCCCGCCTTGTTCCTACGGTTGCGATGCTTGAGGTTGGCGTCGAGGAGCATGTGCAGCTTCGGCATGAACGACATGGGAAAGTCGGCGGCATCGATAATGTGGTAGATGTAGTTCTTCTTGAACGGCGACTCTTCGATCGTCTCGCGCAGGGAGTCTACGCTCGGGTGGTAGATGGGTTCGCCCTCGTGGTGGTGGACGAGTCTGTGGCATCGGTCGCAGAGCGGCACTCTCCAAGACGTCGGCCCTTTGACTACGCCGCGTTAGCAGATGTCCATCTCAAGCTTCCAAGCAACACATACCGGGCCTGTTCGACTCCAATTCCTCCCCATAGCGCAAAGAGCGAGGATCAAGTCCCAGCTCCTTAAGCTTCTCCTCGCCCAGATTCTGCAGTGCCGCTTCAACAACCGCGTCCTCCTCTTGCGCTTCCCTACTAGCCTTTTCTTCCTCCATGGTGACGTATTCACGTACCGCCCTCCTTTTCAGATCGTAGTAACCAGCCTGTCCAGGCTCAGCCGTTTGGCTGAGTGCCCCGCACCCACTGCATATCAAGGGCAGGTTCTTGGCCAGGACGTGCGCAGACTCGTCGACCGGCGGTTTCGCGAGAATTTGTTGGGGTGTGAGCTCGATCGCAGGGACCATCTCGTTATGCACGCATCTTTGCTGCCTGTAGGGGAGCCTTCGATGCGCATCTGCCGGCGCAAAACTGTGTCGCGTGCTAGCTACGCTGAGGCTTGGGCAGAGGTACACTGGCACCTCAGCCAGAGCGGCCCGGTCGCCAATGCTCAGCGCGCTACGAAGCCATCTCGAAGACAGCGCGCGATGCATACTCGTCCAGGAAAGCAATCACCCGGAAAAGAAAATTGCATGTATCAACGAGTTCGGAGTGTTTCCCGCCAGACTTCTCGCATTCGAACCCCCCAGCTCAAAAATTCATGTAGATCCCGGTCCAAGCTTGGGCGATAAGCACCCCAACTTTTTTCTTATCCGGATAATCCCGGCCCGTTTCAACGCAAGGGTCGCAGCAATTTTCCAGAATCTCGACCACGCGACTAAGAGATCGAGGTCCTGAGCTGGGTGAAGCAGTAGTTCCTCTAGGTAGTAAAATATCTGGAGACTTCTCAGACAGCCGCCAAGATGGTCAACGTAGGAAAGAGATGGCATGCTCTCAGAGCTGTAAGTCTTGGAAATTTCAGGATTTTACTCCTTCGCAAAACTACTTGAAAATGAAGCTAACAGTCTGAATAGAAGGTACATATGATCGCTCGAGAACCCGATTTACGATCCCCGAATGGCTCGAATTGACACGAAAACCTATTGCAGATTCTTTCGGTACGCCACGGCCCAGGCGCCGCCATCCTCCCTCCCAATGTCACAAGGATACACATGGAGTTCGCCAAGACCATGGAAGGCGGCCACATGGGCCCCAGGTCCGTCAACCCTCACCGTACCCCTTCATGCTCACCGGCACATGAGACGGCTCGTATGAACAGATACTGATACCGCAGTACAGGAAGTTCTGGCAGAACATGCTCCGTCGCTTAAAGTACCACAACCCCGCCGTCCCCATGATCGTGAACCGCAAAGCCACAAACGAGGGCGCCGCCATGCTGCACATCTACTTCAGCAAGGGCGCACCCATCGACCCCGCAACGCTACCCCAGAACCCCTCCTCCGCCATGGACGGAAGCAAAGCCCCAGAACCCACAGAGAACGAACGTGTCGTCAAGCTCGACATCAAGGACAAGCGCTCCGAAGAGATCCTGGAGCGCTTCATCGCCGAGGCTGAGGCCACTCCCGTAACCCCGACCGACGAGGAGTTGCGGGAGATGGAAGAGGTGGAGAAGTTGCGCGCCAAGGGAGAGAAGGATCGGGTCGCCAATGCAAAGATCCGCGAGGAGGCGAAGAAGCAGAAGGCGATGTTGGACAAGGCGCGTGCCGAGGTTGCCGCATAAGCCCACGAAGGAAGGTGCGAGGAGGAAAATGTATGAATACCATGTACAAAATGTACCAAAAAGAATCTCTACATGGACCGGGGGCTCCATGCACAGCTTCATGATTGACATACACCTGGCATGAGGGGCTCTGGTAACTGTGCTATGGACACAGAGATGGGTAGTGACGACAAAGAAAAGTCTTGTTTTGTTCATTGTAAAGTAATGAGAGCTGACGCCCATGTACATCCAAGAAGAGGCCGGAGCCAAACCAAAAAGAGACCCGACAGGCTGCGAGCCGGTGTGAATCTTGCTGCCACCCTATCTAGATGCATTTCAATGCCCTCAGACGGCTTCGGAGCCGTTGTCTGTAACTCCGGATGCTAATGATTTCTGTGTCGTTGACGCGTGATACAATTATTTCAGTCCAAAGCCCTCGCTCTCGTAGACAGCAGTCCATAACATTTGTTCCAGTCTCTCCCTGGACCCGTAGCGCCGCAAGGACAACATGTTAAAGCATGTTCGGGCAATGGGATACCTGTTCTCATCTTCGCCCAAACACGTTATCTTGATGGGAAGCAGAGCAGCTCCCATTGCCGGCACTCGATCAGTGCCCGTAATAAAGGAGAGCAGTTTCCTCTGCTCGTCCGGTGTCGCCTCCTTGAAGGTTTCCCAAAACCAGCCAACGACAGGTTCGACACCGTCAGGAGTCTTGGTCCCCCAATTGTCGTACTCGGCCACACCTCTGAGAGCATCCACGTCGAGTGCTGTGTCTGAGCCTCTCACCAACAATTCAATTTCCTCCGGCCTGAACAGCGAGAGGGCGTTGCCTCCACAGACAGTGTAGAAACCACGCTTGAACGGCTCGAATTGGCGTGTGACTGCTGTCTCAAGCAGGTAGCGAACATAGAGACTCACGTACTCCCATTTGTTGGCGTTGGTCACTGCCTTTCTCTCTCCGCCTGGGCAGAGAGGTACTTGGGTAATGATCCCGTACTTCTCGACATCGACAACAAAGTCGAGCTGGAAAGTTTCCTCAACATCGCCGTCAAACTCTAGCAATTGGCGTAGTCCCGCCGCTAGTCGTGGTCGGTATTCTGCGAGATCCTCCAGGGTGTAATTCATATTTGGTCGCGGATGGGCGGAAGGTCCGGTTGAAGAGCTGGGCGCTGACGCAAGAAGCTTGCGGAAAGCGAAAGGTGGCAATGCCACGTCCAGGATAGTCGAGTTGTAGATGGCCAGACCCATAACGACGCCCACCAGGAAATATTGGTCAGAGGTCTCGAAGGAGTTGGGGTTGAAGTAGCAGAACTGTGAGTCCTCGTCGTAGATGAACATGCCTACGCAGATGTCAGACAAGTACTGAGAAGATACAGGACAAAACCTACCATGGTCAGGATTGAACACCTCCCGGACGAGGAGTAGGAACCATTCTTTTTTCAGACCACCGGCATCGAGGCCTTCCTCGCCCTTAAAAACGATGCGCAACCCCTTCTTGATGTCTTCGCTACCGCTTCCAATGACTTCGCTCACCGCCTTCAGGCTATCATCCACGAGGCACTCTCTTCGAACATCAAGCACTAGAAACTGAGTGACAGCCCTCCGCGTCATGATGCTGTCAAAGAAGGCATCCCGAGCTTTCGTCATTTGCTGTCTGCGGGCATCATGCTCTAGAATCTGAGATTTCGCCCACATGCTCAACAGGAACGGGTACTGGCAGAAAGAGAACCGGCCCCGCTTCGATTCCCAAGCCTCGAATTCGGCCACTAGGTCGGTGTAGTCAATCATGGTGTTGTAAAAGTCGCTCGTCGGAATGATTTGCCCGTGCGCCTGAATGCCGCCTCTGTGGGTGGTGCTACTGGAGGTGCTTGCCGTCTGATCTGGCCGTCGAATATGCGTCATGTTATTGGCCGCAAATATGAGAGCCAAAACCCGCGCGGCAGCTTTGATCTGCCAGTCTTCGTTGTAAACCATCTTCTTCTGTTGCTCCTTTTGTTTCTTTGAAGGAGCATTTTGAGTTCCCAGCGCCGCGTGAAGCGAGGCGGCTGAGTGGTGGCCGGCACTCATGTTCGGAATCAACCCAGCGGTGATGTCCACCCTGACTTCCTGTTTCTTCTCATTCTGTCGAATGAGCCTGTATGTCAAAAAGCCAGCGGCCAAGTCTTTGGCTTTGATAAATCTGGACTCTGTATACCGTGCGAACCAAGTAATGAGATGGTTTTGACAGGTGTTTGACGAATTTGATATCAAGCCTAAAATTCGTTTGATGATGACGGAATGTTGTCCCGAAACAGGTCCAGTCTTCACAGCCGAGCCTTCTTGCTTGGGCACGTCGGGTCTTCTCGTCTCCTTCCGACGCCCTTGTCCCTGGAAAGTGTTTGGCTCGCCGTGCAGGAGCGGGTTTTCCAAGACGATGAGGAGGAATCGCAGGTCCTCGGGGTCTGTCATAGGGCGACCAGGTCGTTTCAACAGATTCTCCGTGGCTTTCAGGAGCGCTCTATGAGTATGCTCCTGTCCGTGAAGTAGCTGAGACTCCAAAGCTCGCAGTTCCGTGGCCGACAAAGGGTCCGGTACTGGCGTCCCCGGCTCGGCACCGGCCCCTGCCTCTCGGTTCATCTCTTCATAGACGGCCATCCAAGACTCAGCTGCGTTGAGTATCGTTCGATACCATTCAGCTACTTCGTTCCACTCAACCTGCGCAGAGCGAGGCGTGACGAAAGATGGCGTCTCATCAATCCGATGTGAAGCCGACCTCTTATGCCGTGCCCCACTTTGACTCTGACTCTGACTGCCTGTCCACCATGTTCCGTTCTCGGCAAAGTCTCCCAGCAGAAGCAGTTTAGGATCGAGGTCAATAATGGGGGTCTCACTGTACTGCTCCGGATGCCTCGGCTCGGGTCGTGGAAGGGAAGGTCGTCTTTGAGCAGACTCACTACCTGACCGAACTGCCGGGGCTGGGCGACGAGACAAGAAGGACGAATTCACACAATGGAATGAGTTGAAGCAGGTCATGATGTAGTCCTCAAGAGGCTTGAAGATTCTCTTCGGATCATCAGCTTGCCAACATCTCGGGTCCGCCGGCCGGGGTCCACTAGCCTCGGCCGCGAGTTGCCGCATGGAGGGAGGCCGTTCTGGATATGAAGAGGAGAAGGATCTGGACGGTGGGGGCGCTCGTTGCGGGTTTGGGTGCAGCGTGGGCTGTTCTGGGAAAAGGTAGGCCGGTCTGTTGTCGTGACTGTTCTGCCGCCTGTGAAGTCCGGGGCCCATTGGTCTCGAGGTGCATGGGCGGTCGCCATTGTCCGCGTGGCTAGGGGCCAGGTGCTTCTCGAGAACTTCGCGGCGCTCATCTTCAAAGCTCGAGGTCCTCCTAATGGCTCTCGTCAGGTGGTTGCGAATGCATTGCCGGATCAGTCTCTTAGTCTGGTCGAGGGAAATGGGTCTGGCCTCGTATCGGTCGGCAGGGCGGGGAGGTTGCTTCTGGGGCGAGGTTGAATCCTGGGACGGGCGCTGAAGCCATTTGGGACCAGCGTTGGCCCTCGCTTGCTGATCGGGAGGGAGGTCATTAATGGTGAGGCACACGGTGCATTTGAAGACCCTCAGGTCGCGCGGCCAGCGCACCAGGGAACCGCAAGTCATGCAGTTACCTGTAGCAAAGTCTCTGCTGCCGCCATCTCTGCTGCCGTTGGCACCGCCTCGCTTGTGTGTGTTTTTCTGCGTGTTCCCCAATGATTTGGTCATGACGGGCGCATCATCGGAGTCAGAGTCGGTCTCGTAGGTCGTCGGTTCAGGGCGCTTCTTTTTGGAGAACAGCGCTGGAAAGGGGTGGCTCATGGATCGGGAATGGGTCGGTCGCCGCGGACGTCTGGGGTGGAAGTCGGATTCGGAAGAGCTCTCGTCGGCGGCATGCAGTTGGGAATTATCCAAAAGCACATAGTCTGGCAGTCGTCCAAGCTGGCCAGGCGGTGCAGTTAAAGAGGAGGGGCTGTGTATCCGGGAGATAACATCGGCGGAAGGTCGACGGAGAGGAGGAGGACGAGGAGGTGGAGCATGACGTTGCGACCAAGGAGCCATATTTGCGGGCGAGGTCCAGATCGTCGTCTAATGTCTGCGACGGCAGGAGCATTGGGGCCTCTGCAAGCAGCAAATCGGCATGCGCGCAGCGGGCTGGGTGTATAAACGAAGGGACGAATAAACGAAACAGGACAGGGAAGGCAAGGTTTTCATTAAATTGTTAAAACCAACCAAGCATTCAAGCCAGGTAGGCAGGAACTTGGGAAGGACACTGCAAACTGACTGGGACCTGACCTGCGGCACACGCGCACACGGGCAAAGACGTGGAACGGCAACAGGCAGATGACCTGGACGTAAAAGTGGGATGGGATGTTCGGGACGGGGGAGCAGGAGGAGCAGCTGAAGAGCTGAAGCTGGAGCTGCCGAGTGTGCGCCTTCAGTCGGTAGGCATTCCTAAATGGCTGGCGGAGTAGGGATGTAATACATAGTAATAGCCAGGCAAAGGTCGCAGCAGGGAGGCTCTGCACCTGCTTCTTGTCTCGTCCAATGTTGTTGTGTGTAAGTCAACGTCGGATCGTCAGGTCGGCTGAGACAGGCCGCTCTGCAGGAGGAAGATGGTTTGCGATACAAGTAGGGATCTTTGCTGCAGGCGCAAAGGCAAGGAGGAATTTCCCGATGCGCCAGCTACAGGATTGCTGCAACGGGCTGGAATTAGCTTGAAGGCCATAACATGATTAGAAGCGCCATCGCGGACGGCCAAGTGACCTTATTCCGCAGAGAGTGCTTAAACACATCGTTGGAGTCGTTTGTTTGTTGTTGGCTACTGCAGGACCAGAGCACTTAGGCAGGGCAGCTAATGGAACTGACCCCTTTGGTGTCCCAGCCAACAATTTGCGCGGCGCACGCGGGCATCAGGCCAGACGGTGACAGTGACAGTGCAGTCAGTGTGTTGCATCTAAGAGCATGCATTCATTCGGATGTACCGTAGTGTTGTTGTTGCTTCTCCTCCTTCTACCTGACGATGCTTACAGAGTCCTTCCATCGAGCTTCCCGTCCCCTTCCAAGTCCGTCCGTCGCCGTCCCTCGTCCGAGTCCTATTCTCCATATTACGTCTCAAATAATCCGTACCCCCGTGAGATGACGGCTTTATGCAGACGGATGTACATGGCATCAGACACAGAGCAGCCCGGGTCCTGAGCTGGACAATGGACATCCGAAGACGCGGCAGTCTCCCGATACAAGACACAGTTCAAACAGTTGGCCCTGGATTGCCCACTCCCTGCTGGTTGCTGGCTGCTGCTGGGCGGAAAAGGTGAAATGTTCTGGTAAGGTGCCCCAGCCAGGCGCATCATCTCGTATTCAGATGCTGGGCGCGCAGTCCCCAGGGCGAGCGAATCATCGCAACACCTGGGCCGAAATATTACCCAACCGGCCCCCCCGCGACTCAGCGTGGCTGGCTGGCTGTGCGCAGCTCCCAATGAACCTCCCTGTCACATCCCTAGCACCACAACAACATCACACACAATGGGGCCCTGATGCCTCATTAACAAGGTGCCTGGTCAGGTCTGTCCCTTTCTTGGAGCGCCTTGCATACATCGCATGAACTGCTAAACACCCTCGTGTAATTAGAGTCTCCAGAAACACCAAACACCACGCGAACCGCGTCTGTCAACGTCGACAGGAAGAAAAAAAAAAGTCTGGACCCTGTGGAGCGATAAGAAATGCTGCAATTTCCATATCGTCCCCCCTTGTCACCCTCAAATGTTTTTTCTGTTAATCAGGGTCCTGGCCTACCACCTTAGCAGGGATCTTCGGGACTCAAGGCGACCTTCCGCAGGTCAGGTCGCCTCGCCTCATCCTCTGCCCGGCCCCAAGCATTGGTCCCAGGCTCCCAGCAGGTCCTCCCCAACCCGGCGAGGGGCATCATCGTTCAGTGTAACCCCAACCCAAACCACCGCCGAGACCTGCAATTCCGTCTGCAGGGGGGCCTCTCGCTGCAGGGCGCTTTACCTCCCGCTAGCACTCGGTGGGTGCACTGCACGCTAGTGGCCCAAGGTCGCACTTCCCCGCAAGCCGGAGGACGGCCGGTTTGTTCCTCTTGCCCCAATTCCTTCCCGACAGCTGTGCCAAGCTCCAGTGTCCTCCTGCCTGTCGTGGGTCCCCGTTTCGTCCTGATGACTGGCGCCGATTGGGTCCTTGCTCTTACACCTTCAACTTCATCCCCAGCAGCAACGGACTTCATTCACGCAACACACTGCCTCGGCCGTTTCAGCAACCTGCCTCACCCGCGAATACGCTTTTCAACATCCCAAGCCCAGAAAATGCCCGTCACCGCCCGTCGACTGGGGTCTTCCACGTCCGTTGGGAAAGCTTCAAAGAGCACCGGCCACAACTGTTCCCCGCTGACGTCAAGCGTCGTCTGTCAGGTCATTACGCAACGCTCGCCGGCAGCGAATGCTGTTTGCGAACGAAGGCACAAAGACTGATCGCAACGCGATCGATTGTTGCTCATGACCATGACCACTGCCACGGACAGAGTCCGTTGGGCTGGCCTTGAATATTTCGGTTTTGGTTGACAGCTTGATCGAGCGCTGAGCACGAGTTTTACGATCGCGGTCACAATTCATGTGCACAATGCTGAATCTGAAAATGGTCGTATTCTCATTCGCTCATAAAATCAGTGGTCTCTACTCAACGACGTGTCTCGCCGGTTATCTACTGAAGCATCTGAGAGAATTGCGGGGTTATCGAGAAGGGGCAGTTGATGTTCTTGATCGTCTCATCGCACCAGTTCTTCTCCTGTGTGCCGAGACCCACCATCACGGCCTTGTCGGATGGCTTGGTTCCCTTCTTCAGGGTGCCCTCCATTGTGACCTCGAACTCGCCCCGGACAATCTTCAAGTCTCCCTTCAGCTCTGCCAGAACCTCGCCGCTGCCTTGATTACGCAGCTCGAACATGCTAATGCCGTGGTCAATCTCGAGCGGGCTGGGGTTGTAGACCTTCATCGTGTTGGCGAATCCGCTGCCGCGAGGCGATGAGTTGACCTGTGCGATCTTGGGGCCCTTCATGCCCACGATGTGCACGTCCTTTGCGTACTTGACCTTTGCTGACAGACCAAGCGCCTTGATTGTGCAGTCACCGTTGTCGAGTCTCAGGATCAACTCATCGTCGCACATGATGGCCTTGACGAAGGCCATGAAAGCGCTGCGGTCAATGATCTTGATAGTCTGGTCTGTGACGACGACTAGCGTGCCGCTCGACTTGGTCTTGACCTCGGGCAGGTCCAGCTTGCCAAAGACGCCGCCGTTGTACATCATGTCGACGGTCATGGGCTGCATGGTGGCGCCCATCGGTCCAGTACCCGTGACCTTACTCTCGATGGTCATGACGAAGGAACTGCAGAGTTGATAATCAGCACGACCGCAAAAAAAAAAAAAAAATCCCACGCCAACTTCGCGATTGAAGGAAGATTTGGCTTACTCCTCCGTCGGCTGGGAGATCTTGATCAACTCCACCTCCAGCTTGGAGCGGTTCAAGATAGCTTGGGTGATGGCATCCATGTTGATTGATTGGTCTGTTTGTTGGTATGTGGGCTCTTTAGAGTGATGACGACGGACTGATGTAATAGAGTATGAGTGCTTGCTGATTGTTGATTGAGATTGCTGCTAATTGTTTGGTTCCAGAACAAAAAGATGGCCAGAGGAACACGAAGCTTATATACTATCATCCCAATTATATGGCGGTCATTGTTCCAGCGACGCCAGAACACATGCAGCTTCAGCTGCCATGTGCCGGAAGCTGCCACAGCTTGCTTTGTGCCTCGGAACTTGCAGTCTGTCTCCAACAACCCACCTTCACAACGCGCTGGTTCGCATAGCTTTTCGCATAGCTACCCTGCCACCCAAACAGAGACAGGCAGGGTCCCGGGAAGCAATATTATGGGACGAAGACAATCCAAAAAATTCAATCCAACAAAAATTGATGTGGCGGTAGCAGTAGGTAAACAAACGGGACCGGTCGCTTATGCGGCGGGCCAGATCGATCGTCGACCGAGCACCTACCAGATCCTCCTTCCCCAAATCCCTAAACGGCAATTCCCTGTGCGTTGAAACACCATTACGGCAGAGAAGACCCGCCAAGTGACCAAGGGCAGGCGCAGCCAGCCCACGCACCGCACCCGCAACCGCACCCGCACTCGCACAGCTGACTGTTCGTCCACGACTCCGTCAAGCAAGCAGGCGACGAGCCCAACCTTGCCTTGCCTCTGCTACGTTCGCTTGGACGTCCCGTTTCGGGAAGCATAGTCGCTTGTTGTTTACCCGCCCTTTCTTCCTCCTCTACAGCCTCGAACCCCGGACCCGCGCCTCGGCCGGCGGCAGTCTCAGCGGCAGACCTACAGCAGAAGCAGTATCAGCGGCAGAGCAAAGGAGAGAGCGAAACCTCCTCAGGGGGGAGGCTGTGTGCCGATACGATGGATATCTCCGGCCTGCAACTCAGCCGTCGGGGAGAATTGACCTGACTCGAGAGAGAGAATGTGGGTTAATAGGTGATAGCCAGAAGTGAAGCATAATTTGGCCAACGTCTTGGGCTATGCATGGCCCTTCGGTGGCGCACCCCGTTGTGCGGGGAAGGCATGTCGAATCTCGGTACGCTACGTTGAAGATGTTGTGTGCATGTGCTTTTGGTCGGTTCAAACTCTGTGGGTGGATGGCCGTCGCGAGAGGAGGCGGGGGAGGATCATGGATTGGCGAAGTCACGCAGTTTAACGCAAGCAAGGCAAGACTTCTGGTAGGGATGGCGGGGTTTTACAACGCAGTATTCGAGGCGGGGAAAGAATGGGTGGTGGGTTAACGAGGGGGATTGGGTGCGTTGGCATTCAGCAAGACTGGATGGCTGCCATGCGGAGTAGAGAGTTGCGTAGATTCTCGTCATCTTTTGCTTTTGTGCCTTGGAAGGTGGACTTGGGCCAAAAAGTCAATCTGGCTTGGGTGGACGGGAAACGGCCATTGATAACGACATTGGAGCCTGCAGTGTGCTTTTGCAGCACCTTAAGAAGAGATGGACGATGAGCCAATGAAACAGGTCTCCAAATGGAGACGATCGGTGCAGTCAGCTTGGTGCAGAAATGAGTTCATGGCGCTGATACTTCAGATTGACACCTAGGCCGTGTGTCGTAATAATTGGCAGTATTCGTAAAGGAATACCCAGTGACATTGATCTCGGCACAAGGGACGACGAAGACGACGAAGGCACAGAAAATACGAAATCGACATCCTGTCATCACACTCATAGAATCAACAAGCCAAATGGCCAAGATGTGTTTCATCGCTCATCAATTCTCTCGAGAGCAGCAGGCTACAGAATGAAAGACTAACAACAACCATACTTTTGTCACCGTCGCCAGCTTTCAGAATCCTCTCTCTCAACTCCGCAACCGCCTGAAACCGTGAACCCACACCGTCATCAACATCATCAATCATGCGCAACAACACCTCACTGCGCCACGACCTCCAGGTCAACAACAACAACAACAACAACGTCAACCGTCCGTCCACCCGCCCTACAACCGTCCCATCAACCTCGGCCCCTGACTCCGATCCGATGCTTGTCTAAGTAAGGTAACGTTATGAGATGAGCCAGATAAAGAGACCTTGTTCTTTTTTGAATGTGTGCGTGAACAATAGCAGGGCAACAACGACACTCCACGAAGGGTAAATGGTATTTGGCGTATTGTTTTTTTCTGTGCTTGTGTTTTTTGCATTGGTGCTTAGTGGCATGCGACTCGCACAAGCTTACACTCCGGTGGCATCGTCGAAGACGATAGCAGCCTTGATGGCGCTCTTGTTGCGGATAGACTCGAGAGCCTCGCCGAACTGCTCGAGCTTGAAGGTCTTGTTGACGATGCCCTTGGTGCGGACCTTGCCGGAGTCGAGGTAGTCGATGGTGGCGGCTGGGGACTTGTTAGTAAGAATTTTAGAAGTGGCAGAAGACGACGTACGGAACATGTAGGTTTCGGAGAAGGATCCGAGAATGGTGATCTCGTCGCCGAAGATCTTGGAAGGAGGCCAAGAGACACGGGCGGAGTCGGAGTAGACACTAGACGTATGATTAGCCATTGTGTTGCCAGAGCATACGATTGGAAGCACTCACCCGTAGACGACGAGCTTGCCGCCGCGACGGACGTAGTTGATGGCGTCCTCGAGAATCTTGACGGAACCAGTGGCCTCAACAACGACGTCAAAACCGTACGGGTGGTCCTTCTTGAGCTGGGCGAACTGTGCCTCGGGCTCCTTGCGAGAGAGCTCAATGTAGTGGTCGGCGGCGTCGAGGCTCTTGGCAAGGTCCATCTTGAGACCCTGGGGAGCGGCGATGGTGACGTTGCAGCCACCGTTGTGGCGCATGAGCTGGGCAAGCATCTATCACACACACAAAAAGTCAGGAACAAAAGTTCGGCCGGTTTGTCACGGAGCTCCGTCCGAGCGGACTTACAAGACCGGTGGGGCCGGCGCCGAACATCAGAACGCTGGATCCCAGGCGGGGGCGGATCTTGTCCAGGCCGTGGCAGGCGCAGGAAGCGGGCTCGAGGAGGGTGGCATCGACGTCGTTGAGGTTGTGAATCTTGAAGACCTTGCCGGCGGGGTACGCGCAGTATTCGGCGAAGCCACCGTTCATGGTGACACCATGGGCCTCGAACTGGAGGGGTGGGAAGCATGTCAATGTGCGGGTTCCGGCGCCGTGTAAGTGGGAAAGTGGGGCCGTACCTTCTCGCAGAGCAGCAGCTCTCCGCGGCGGCAGTAGAAGCACTCATTGCAGAGTTCGGAGTTGTCGGCAGCGACGCGGTCGCCAACCTTGAAGTCCTTGACTTTCTGTTTGTGGCGTCTTAGTGTGAGTCCTTGGGGGTTGTTCAATGATTTTGGCGAGGTACGTACGGGTCCAACAGCGGCGACAACACCGACGGTCTCGTGGCCAGGGATCAAGGGGAACTTGGCAATGAACTCGCCCTCGTGGATGTGCTGCGGCGCGTGTCAATGTCGAATCTCTAGGCTCGGCGAGGAAATCTTACCAAGTCTATGGCCAGCTGTTAGCTTTGAGGGTCCTCAATGGCGTCCTATAATCATGCGTTGAAGGTGAGGGAAATGCGCAAAAGTACTGACCAGTGCCACAAACACCGCAAGCCCGAACCTTGACCAGGACGTCATTCTCGCGGAGCTCTGGGAGAGGAACCTGGACAATTGACCAATCCTCAGGCTTCTCGTATCTGGGTGAGGGGTCAGCCGATCGCCGATGGAGGGGTAAAATGATGCTCAGTGAGCCAAGTTGCAAGGGACGCGAGGGGTCGTCGAGAGCTCTAGAAACTGTTTATCGATCTGGGGAAGAAGCATACCGGAGAGCCTTCATCTGCTTGGGGAGGTTCGACATTTTGAAGGCTGTGTTTGTGCGTTGGGTTGTATTTGGGTTTCTGGAGAGATCAGTTACTCGAAGTTGGATCAGTAGCCCATCGACGTGTAAGTACGAAGGGCTAGCTAGGGCTAGCTAGGAGAGGAGAGCACCAACATACAGAAAAGCTCACGACAGAAGAGGAGGGGGACGGTGAATAGGAGCTTGAGAGTGAATTCTAAGTAATTGAGGAGGTGGCAGCAGCATCTTATATAGCAGCGTCATCAACAAGCCCGCGTTCTGGGCAGCGCGGGGAATGGGCGCATCTTGGGATGGAGAGGGGGGGGGGGGCAGGCAAGCCAGGGTCCATGGTCTGCGTGTCTGAGTTCAGGGTTCCGACATCTCGACGCTCCCTGGGATCGAGCCGGCGAGGCTCGCCAGTCTACACCAGGTGCACTTTTTGGAGTAAAAGGACCAATATGCTGTGGTACCTATGCTTTGCGCCATGAGGTAGAAGTAGTGGGATGGCTTCTAGCTGCATCCCGCATCCACAATCCACATATCCACCTCCGCGTCTGCGCATGCATCGCCCACGGCCCCTCGTCCAGCTCCACGTACCACCCGGCCACCTTATGATCATACCTAGTACATACACGAAGCGGCATGCCATGCCCGTGGCGAGACCCGGTCTACTCTGGCCAATTCATTGAATCGGTGAGGGAAGAATTATGAGCGTCAGTGAATGAAGGCCAAGGCAGAGTCCCATTGTAATGCCCGTCACCGTGCTATTCACCCCTGTTGCCCCGCCTTGGGAGCTCCCCGCCAGCACTAGCTGCGTACTCGGCGTCATCAAGCAGGGCTGCCACTGGCAACTAGAACTTCCTGGCCTTGAAAAATCGGGGAGGGGCAGGCTGCTTGACTGCGGAGGGCAGCTCAGTTGTAACGCCGCAGCGAGCGCAGGGAGAAGTGAACAGAAGTTTGGAACATATTGAGCTATGAAGTGAGGGGCAGAACGAGAATGGCTGGCGACGCGCCCACACCCCATGCACTCGACAATTGCCAGGCAGTCCGATGTCTGGCAGCAGCTCATCCCACCTCGATGGGGTCGACGATGTCCTTCGCAGCCAGTCAGACGAAGGCAAGACGGACAAGATGCATCGGAAAGGGAAAGAGGGGGTGAACGGGGCCCTGGTCCTCTGGACTCAATTTGCAACTCCGAGAGAGCGAGCGAGAAAAACTGACACCACCATCAGCGAAAAAAAGACCACCTTCAAAGCTTCTTCTCTGGTATTCCATTGCGACGACTGGCAAGCTCCACTTGGCCACCGCCCGCGGGGTGCTTATCTCGCACATCCGCCATCCTCCCCGAGAGACTGTCCAGTAGAGGAGTGGCAGGCAGCTCGCCTCAACAAAACCACCCTCCCGCAAGCTTCAGGGAGTGTGAGAACGTGGTGACACTTCACGGCACATGACATTGAACTTACACACTAGCCCCCTGGCCTCGACCGCGTTGCCGCTTCCATGCCCGCGCCCGCGACAATCCCTCAGGCTGGCTCTGCCCACGCGCTACCCTGGTGTGGTGGCCCTCTTCCGGCCGTTCCCCGGTTTGCTGGCCCTCTCCGTGTCCGGCCCTTGGCGTGGAGACGCTCCCTCCACCTGGAGCTGGCTTACGTACCGGGTTGGCGTGAGCGGATGGGATGGCACGGATACGGATGGCTTCTCGAGGCTCTGATATGATTTTCCACCGTTTTGTGCGACGCGGAGTTTTGCGTTCGGTGGTTCAGTGGTTCATGAGCTTAAATCGGGCCATGGCAGTCATGCTGTGCCACAAAGTCCTATGGCCTGCAAATGATGTTCAATGTTCATCTGATTGAATTGGCAATGAGTTCGGAAAAGATTCGTCGCTTATTCGGAGGGCGGTCAATAGTGTGTGTGTTTTGAAGGTGGTGTGTGATTGGAGATGGCCGCGGAAAGGACTCTGAGGTGACTTGCACGCAAAGTGAGGCGATACTTCCTGGATCAGCCAAAGCCACCCCCATCTTCATCCCTCCTTCTCGTCCCGCGGCTAGGGGATATCGAGGCAACAGTGTCCGGAAACCGGTTAACATGCACGAAAGTCAAACAGCAGGAGGCAGGGGAGGTCAGAAAGGCGAGACAGACATGCTGCAACCCGACGTGAGGTTAGCAGTTGGCAGTTGGTAAGCCAGCTAGTGCGTTGAGGAAGGCGTCCCCTCGTCCCTTCCAAGCCAATCTTTCGCATCTCACTCGCTGAGACAAGACAGCAAATAAAGGTGTGGAGATGGTATCTGCTTCCCGAACTTACGCGGGGCACGAATGAGACTCTTGCAAGACCATCGGAAGACCTGGCAGTCATGAGATTCGCGCAGCAGCAGCCCAGCTTCAGCAGCAGTCACCGCCACTTCGTCGAAGCATGCCCAACACTCCTCGGCATTCCTACTCTGAGCACACCTGCTTTACCACACTTGCCGCTTCTGGGTAGGGCTGTCGACAGATTCACGGTGTCGAGGCAGTTGGCTACCACACGGCGACATAGCGCATTGCTTCTTTACAGGGGCTGTCTCAAAAAGTGCAGTATACGATACGTTCATTCGTGAGGGCAGCTTGCTGAAGCTATTTCCTACGTGCGTCTGCGTCGGCGTCGGCGTTGGCGTCGATGCTTACCGCAGGAGAGCCGCTCTCAACATTCCCAAAGGCCAGACCGATCCCTTTCGTTTCCAGCCCGACTCCGAGAACACCGATAAAAAAAAACCAGGAGTCCTCGTTTCTTTTTTTCTTTTCCCATTCATTCCCCTTGACATGCATACCAGAGGTTTCAAACGTGACCTCTCGAGATTTCAGCACCACCCCCACGTGCTCGACCGGCAGACACCGCTGGCTCATCACAGCGTTTGCAAAGAAAAGAGACACAAATTGTGGCGTTTCACGGTTTGGAGGAAGCAGCACAAGCCGCAGGCTGCAATTCATGACCTTTTGATGCAAACGATTTCCGAGGATCTAACCTCCAAACTCCCACGATGTTTCCCCCGTAGTCTGTGACGTTGACAGACGCGCGACTGTTCCGGCCATCCACTTTTTAGAGTACATGTCGGTGCTTTTTTTGTTTTGCCAATGCGTCTCGAGAGTAAAAGCCGATAGGAAAGAGACCTCTTACGAGGGGGGAGCGCCACGGCCACGGCCAAAGCCACCACGGCTACAAGTGTTCAGTTAGCAGACTGTCTTCGAGATTGGTAGGAATGCGCCGACGAAGTCCAGACGAGATCGAATCGCCAGCGCATAGGGGGAATGCTTACAACTGGGGCTCGAATCCACCAGGGGCACCACCCTCCTTGCCGCCCTCGCCAGCATCACGGCGGCGGTAGCCACCCTCACGGTCACCGCGCTCACCACGGCCACGGCCGCCGAAGGGCCTTCTCTCGCGCTCGCCCTCGCCGAGCATGCCGCGGGGGGGAGCGTGGGAGCGCTGCTGCTTGATGTGGGTGGCAGGAACGATCTCCGCGGGGAGGTGAAGCCACTCGCGGAGGTAGTCGAGACCCTCGGGGGTCAGGGTGTAGTAGTAGTATTGCCAGGAGAACTGGGTCTTGACATAGCCGCGGGAGGTGAGGGACTGGCAAGCCTTGACGACGAAGAGGTTCTTGGTGTCGATATCGGGGTGCTTGGGGAGGTTGTAGTCCTTCTTCGCGACGAGGACACCCTCGCGGAAGAGGTACTGTAAATTTCCATCGTCAGCATTCTCGTCGACGACCTTACGGCGTGCAATTCTCCTCGCGCGCCGGCGAAATGGTAATTCTAACCTCGTGGATCTTCTTGCGGTCGGCCTTGGGAATCAACATCGTGGCGGTTGTCGGGTCGCTTGCTGGTCGATGTTGGGGAGGGTGAAGTCGTGGTGGCAGGAATATAGAACGTACAACAGCGACAGTCGCTCTTGAATTTTCGAAATCAAGCCCTCGTTTGTGTGGGCCCCACTTGTCTTTTCGGGCACACTGGTCGCAATTGCTGGATCAGGTGGGCCTCGTCACGTGCTGGGTGAGTCGCTCCAGTGGACGGTTAGGTGTTTGCCCACTGTACTTGGTGCTCTGAGGTACCTCGATGGCCGGTGCTCCTCCCCCGCTGCCTCGAGAAATCTACTGTGGCTTGAGCGCTGAGCCACCTTTTTTCCATTCTTTTTTTCTGTGTCTTCCCTCCGCGCCAAATCTCATATGGACCCCCGGCCTTATCGCTGATAAGCGTAGCGTCACCAGGTGAACATCGCATTTCATCGCCTCGCGTATTCGTCACATCGCAGCCCCATCACATCGACGACACCGACAACCACGACGTCAACAACAACAATATCGACAACGACAACAACGTCGACGCTTCGAAATGGCAGTGAAGAACATCAACGTCTTCGTCAGCACTTTCGCTGGCCTGGGCCCGTCAACTTTGGTGCTTCCGGTGCCTTCATCAACTACTCTATCGGATTTGCGCCAGCAGCTGAATGAGCGCCTGCCCGCGACTGAGAACCGCCTGATCTTGACGACCGTATCAAACAAGGAGTTATCGCCGTCCTCCACAGCTCAAGTTGCCGACCTCCTCTCGTCTGAATCAGATGACTTCGTCTCCCTGCGCTTGTCGCTGCCGCTATGTGGTGGCAAGGGTGGTTTCGGATCCCAGTTGAGAGCTGCCGGAGGTCGCATGTCATCCAAGAAGAAGCGCAACCAGGGAGATGCCAACAACTCAAGCAGAAATCTGGATGGCCGACGTCTACGCACTGTGACTGAAGCAAAGGCTCTGGCGGAATACCTCGCCATCAAGCCGGAGATGGAGAAGAAGGAAAAGGAGAAGCGACGCGAAAGATGGGAGCAGATCGTCGAAATGTCAGAGAAGCGTGAGGATGAAATCAGGAACGGCGGCAAGGGTCGGCTGGACGGCAAGTGGGTCGAAGACAAAGAAGAGGCAAATGAGAGGACTCGTGAGGCCGTCCTCGCCGCGATGAAGGCTGGCAACTACAAGGACAATCTGCTCGGCACATCGCAAGTATCTACCGGCTCTGAGGAGACGGACGAGGCCATGACGAGTGATGAAGAGGATGAAGAGGATGAAGAGGGCGGCAGCTCTAAGGAATCGACGCCTCCATCAGAACCGGCAAAGACCTCCAAGGATAAGCCCAGAACATTTTTCGGCTTTGACGAAGACGATGAGTTTATGAGCTCCGATGAGGATGAGCAAGATCCTAAGGGCAAGGGAAAGGCGAAGTGAAACCATGTGTTCTCTCAGTTTCACTGAGAGTACGTATTAGCGATGAGTTTGCGCCGTCGGAGGCGAACGGAGTTTCGGGAGATCAGTTACGGGAAGGCAGCGAGCTTGCGTTTTTGATAAAATGACAATAATGGACGGGCGTTACAGACAGTCTGTCACGAATTCACATTCAGCGCCGGTGTGCGCTTTTAGCCTCGTCGCACGACACATCCTCCGATGCTCTATTTGATGTCTTAATCCATCTGGAAGTAATACAGTCGCCCGGCTCCTCCGTCTAACTTGCGTACAGCCTACTCCAATATCGCTTATGCGTTCAGGTTGACGGGGAAGTTGCCGGCCTCTGTTCTTTGTCAGCATGAGGTTCCTTGATATCGGGATTTGGTACTGACCGCGCTGCTCATCCCAGCGCTGGTACCAGCCGGAGGGGCAGAGGGAGCGGTAGCCGAGCCAGAACTACAAACAGTTAGTTGTCGAATCCTCCAGCAGCACTTCAAGATAGTCGAACCTGGCGGCAGGGGGCGAAGTCCTCGCCCTTGGCGTTGATGCACTTGTGGTAGTCGACGTAGTTCTGCCAGCAGTGCTTGGTCTGGTTCATGTTCGGGAAGCGGGCATCGGTGCCTATGCAAGCTCAGGTTAGGCATTCGTCCATAGTGGCCGACGTCAATTGACGCGGTCGCATCGCGGGTATCGTGGGGTCGGTCGGAGGGCACATACCGGCTACAAGTTACGTTAGCCTCGGAAAAAGATCAGGCCATGCTGGGGGGCGAGGGATATTTCACGACGTACCAGTGACGAACTTGAAGGGCTTGGTGACGAGTTCCTGATCGTCGGCCATTTTGACTGCGTGGAGGTGCAATTGACTGGAAGTCGGTTCGGTGATGGAGCAGAGTGGGCAGCGGCGTGCGATTGGTGTTGTTGCAGTGAGATCAATTGAAGGTCGTTTCTGCACCAAGAATCAGGTGGTGAGTGGTGACGGGCGAGAACGGGTGTGGATGCCTGACATGCGCCAATCGGGCCTCAGGCATTGCAAAGGTGGGCCGAGCTCCCGCCTAACATCAGACCAGACTGATGGTAGCCGGCTCAACTTCTAAACACTCATTTCGAGATCCAATCCCGATCAGCGAACGACTGCTCCCTCAGCTGTACCGAAAACCCGAAAATCTCCCCTCAAAAAACACAAAAACCGACAAAATGCGTCCTACTCTCGGTCTCCGTGCTTTCCGCCCTACCATGCGCATGAGGTCCCCGGTTCCTGTACGTTAAAAAACCCGCTGTCTCCAGACGGACCGCCGTAGCTAATTGTGACGTTTTCCCGCAGGCTGAGGACCAAGTCGGTATGTCCACCCCGGGCCCCAGCCATTGAAGCCTTCCACGATATCGGACATGAACATCGACGACTGCGACCGCCCCTGCGACACCGAATGCGAGCGCTGACATGAATTGCCGTAGGCCACACCGTCTCCCAGAGACTGCGCAAGCTCCGCCAGATCCCCCCCGAGTTGATCCCCCTCGGTATGTCAGACCCGGAATATCAAGATGTCGGCCCGAACTATTGTTGACGTAACCAGGTGTCGTCGTTGGTTTCGCCCTGGCCGCTGCTACCTACTCCATCGGCCGCCACTTCATGACCGACAGCACCATCCGCATCAAGCGCCAGAACAAGGCCGCCGCCGATGCCGCCGAGGCCAGGGAGCACCACTAGATGGTGAACGGGATGACGAGGGGAGACGGTTGACCACAGTGTCGATGTGTGATTAGGGGGGAATCATTTGTATATGTCAACGACGACAGACAGATCCAAAGGCACTAGAGACGCTGTTTCCATTTTCCTTTCTCAAACGTGCTTCTCGTCCCAGTCTCGGGGAGAAGGCCAGGTCCATTTGTACATTCGCAACCGTGTGAACGCCATCGCTATGCCAAAGAGAAGAAAAAAACGAGACCCAAGCCAAACTTCAAATCCCCCTCACTCCGGCCTCGGTCCCGCGACATCAAGCCCCTCCAAACCCTGCATGGGGTCATCGCCACGCACTTCAACCTGCGCCTGCTCTGCGGCGAGTCTGTCCTCTTCACTCACAGCATTCTCCGCCAACCATGATTCCTATGAGCGCAGTCAGTATCAATATGATTCGAGCGGGACCTGTGGTGACGTACTTGTTCCCAAAGCGCCTTCTTGCTACCGAGACCTTCGTCGGCACTCTTTGGTACCTTTGCGGCTGAAACTTTGAGGACTCTCCCGAAAAATTCCGACTGGTCCATATTGTCGATTGCTTCTTTTGCGTCCTCCGCGTCCTCGTACTCAACATAGGCGAATCCTCTATGAGGCTCTGTTGAGTTCGGTTTGTCGTTCTTGGGGAGCGATACGTCTGCGATCTCACCGAACGGTATGAACGCGTCGTGAACATTGGAGGCCGTGACTGCAGAAGCTAGGCCACCCACAAAAACAGTGGCCTTCCAGCGCGAGGCGTCCGTCATCGTTGCTAATTATTTTCCGCGATGTATCGGTAAGTTGGCGCGCTCGAGATCAAATTATCGTGAATTTCAGAAGCGGCTAGCTGCCTCACTGAGAGCGATTCGTTTGGTTGGCGGGGTTTCAGTGCAATAGCTCTGGTTCACAAACCATTGGCTGAGCCAGACATGAGCTCTGTTGGACGCACGTGACGCAATTTTTCTAGTGCCAACGTAAGGTAGGCGACAGGTGCACGGTCCTGGGTGGACGTGGAGCCTACGTTTTGGGGGAGCTTGAACCTGGATGTGGGCTGCAATCTGGCATCATAACCCAAGGATAGAGGCCAGCGTGCTATTACCTGCAGTCCATCATCCACGGCAACAGCCACCTTTCTCGCAAGGCTAGGCTGCATTTCTTCACCACGACTGTATCTGGGCCACCCCCTCCAGATTTTTGTCTACTTGTATTCAGCCAATGCCACTTTGTAGTCGTGCTTGAGTTGCCTCGACTGGTAGACCCTTTTCTTTGCTACGATCCTCCCCTCCCTCCGAGTGCAGTCCTGGGGACTGAGTGATTCTCGCAACCATGGTTCGCCTTCGCGAGATCCCGAGGACCGCGGCCTTCGCCTGGTCCCCCGACCCATCCAAGCCTCTTTTGATCACCGGTACCAGAGCAGGAGCTGTCGATGCCGATTTCTCTGATGAGACCAAGCTCGAGCTGTGGGACCTCAACCTCGACAACCAAGAGCAGGGCCTTGAGCTGCAGCCGGTAGCCAGCATTAACACCGACTCGAGGTAGGCATCGCCGACGTACAACCTAACCAAGTTCGTCACTCACGGGGCATCCCTAGATTCTATGATATCGCCTGGGGACCGCCCGATTCCGACCACCCGCGGGGTATTATCGCCGGCGCTCTGGAGAATGGCTCCCTCGACCTGTGGGATGCCGAGAAGCTCATCGATGGCGACGACGATGCCCACATGTCCCGAACGACCAAGCACTCCGGTGCAATCAAGTCACTGCAGTTCAACCCCCATCGACCTCAGATCCTCGCAACTGCCGGCGCAAAGGGAGAGCTCTTCATCTGGGACGTCAACGATGTTTCCAACCCCTTCAGACTCGGCACCGCTGCCGCTCGCTCAGACGACCTGGAGTGCGTAGCATGGAACCGCAAGGTTGCGCATATTCTGGCTACGGGAGGATCCGGTGGATTTGTCACCGTCTGGGACTTGAAGACGAAGAAGGCGTCCTTGACGCTTAACAACAACAGGAAGCCCGTCAGCGCGATTGCTTGGGACCCCAACAACTCGACCAAGCTTCTGACCTCCACATATGATGACACTGCCCCCCTCATCTTCTTGTGGGACCTCAGAAACTCCAATGCGCCAGAGCGTACGCTTCAGGGACACGAGCAGGGCGTTCTGTCTCTGTCTTGGTGCCAGCAGGACAGCGATCTGCTGATTTCTTGCGGCAAAGACAACAGGACCTTGGTCTGGAACCCCCAGACCGGTGACCGATATGGAGAGTTTCCCGAGGTCACAAATTGGACTTTCCTCACCCGTTTCAACCCCTCGAACCCCAACCTGTCTGCTACTGCAGGCTTCGATGGCAAGATCGCAATTCAGACCCTCCAGAACACCAACCCCTCAACCACCCAGGCTGCGACACAAAACAACCTGGACGGCGAGGACTTTTTCACAAGCGCGCAGACTCAGCCCCAGGAGGCTTCCTTCTCCTTGAGCAAGGCGCCCAAGTGGTTCGAGCGCCCGATTGGTGCCCACTTTGGCTTTGGCGGCAAGCTCATCATCTTCAAGCAAAACGCAGCCCAGCGAACCTCCAAGATCTCCATTTCGCAGTTTGCTGTTGACTCTGCTGTGGGTACTGCAACCGAAAAGTTCGAGGAGGCTCTCCAGTCTGGTGATATTGTCAGCCTTTGCGAGTCTCGGAAGGAGGATGCCAAAACCGAGGAGGAGAAGGCCGATTGGCTGGTAATGGAGACTCTTACTGCCGAAAACCCCCGAAAGCGCATCATTGAGTATCTCGGTTTCACCGAGGAGGAGATCACCAACGGAGTTTCCAAGGATGAAGAGGAAAAGTCCGAAGAAGTCGCTGAGGAGAAGAAGGAGGCGAAGGACGACGACAACATGTGGGGCGATGGCGAGGGCGACGGCGAAGACTTCCTGTCCAACTTGTCGGCCAACAAGGGAGCCAAGACTGATAGCCCCTTCCACCTCCTCGCTGACACCGATACTGCGGTTGAGAAGTCCATCACGAAGGCTTTGATGCTCGGTAACTTCGCCAAGGCTACCGAAATCTCTCTGAAGGAGCAGCGCTGGGCTGATGCATTTTTGATCGCTAACTGCGGCGGCCAGCCGTTGGTGGACAAGGTGCAGTCTGCTTACTTGGCCAGCAAGGATGGCGTCCCTAGCTACGTCCGTCTGTTGGGGTCTGTCATCGCCAAGAACCTGTGGGATGTCGTGTACAACGCGGATCTTGAGAACTGGAAGGAGACGATGGCTATTCTGTGCACTTTCTCCGACCCGAAGGAGTTCCCTGATCTTTGTGACGCTCTGGGAGACCGCATTCTTGAAAGCGGTTCTCGCAAGGATGCCTCATTCTGCTACCTCGTCGGCTCCAAGCTCGAGAAAGTCGTCTCTATCTGGATCAACGAGCTCGAGGAGGCTGAGCAAGCTGGTGTCAAGGAGCCTAGTGACGATTCAACCTTCTCTGTCCATGCTCGGTCTCTCCAGCACTTCATTGAGAAGGTCACCATCTTCCGCCAAGTCACCAAATTCCAGGATACAGAAAAGAGCCAAAGCGCGGACTGGAAGCTGTCTGCCCTGTACGAGAAGTACACGGAGTATGCCGATATCATCGCCGCTCACGGCCAACTTGCTGTTGCGCAGAAGTACCTGGACCTGTTGCCTGACAACTACCCCGCGGCAGAGATCTCCAGGAACCGCTTGAGACTTGCGACTCAGAAGGGCGCTGCTACCCAAGCCGCCCCCAAGGCCGCTGCGGCTGCTGGCCGTCGTCTAGGACAGACCCCCGCGGTGAACAACGCGAGAGCCACCCCGGCCTACCAGCCTGTTGCTCCGGCTGGACCTGCCTTCGCTGGTTCTGTGCCTGCTGCTGCGTCGAACGCTTATGCTCCCCCTGGACCCCCCTTGGTTGGTTCTTCTGTGTCGGCTGCGGCGTCGAACCCATATGCCCCTACCCCGTCCATCAACTACAACCCGGCGCCTGGCCCAGGTTACAACCCGGCCCCCACTCAATCACCGTATGCGCCGGGGCAAGGTTACCAGCCCCCGGCCGCTCAGCAATACGGAGCGCCGCCTACTGGTTACGGTCCACCTCCCAGCAACTTCGGCTCTGTGCCCCCGCCTCCACGAAACTCAACGCCCACATCAAGCTTCCGTCCTAAGGAGAGCTGGAACGATGTGCCTCTAGTCACCAAGGTGCCTACTCGCAAGACCACGCCCAGTGTGGCACCCATCACAGCCCCTTTCCCGGGCCAGGCGACCCATGGCAGTGCTCCGCCCCAGAGCCCTTATGGCCGCACCGGCTCGACTCCTCCGCCACCTCCTCCCAAGGGACCCGCCCCTCCCCGCGTTACATCTCCTCTCGCCGGGCCTCCTCAGGCATTCCAGGCACCGCCTAGGCCGACATCAGCGGCGTCAAATGCATACGCACCTCCCCCGCCCCAGGCCGGCGCTCCACCTTCCATGATGCCGCCGCCGGCTGCCCGTGGCCCGTCTCCGTACAACCCGCCCCCGTCTGGCGCCCCTCCATCTAACCGCTACGCCCCCGCGGCGTCGGCACAGCCTCAGATCAGCCAACCACCCATGGGATCAGTACCACCCCCGGGTAGCCAGCCGCCTCCGAGAAACCCGTACGCTCCGCCGCCCCAGGCGGGCACACCTCAGAACCAGTATGCGCCGTCGCCTTACGGGGCTCCTCCAGCTGGTGCTACTGCTCCTCCGCCCGCCGCATCCAGGCCTCCTACGGGACCTCCTCCCGCTGCTGGCGGACCTCCTCCTGCGGCCATTGCCACCCCTCCTCCCCCGAAGGCAGCCGCCCCCCCATCAAAGCCGAGACATCCCGCTGGTGACAGGTCTCACATCCCGGACCATGCCCAGCGTCTCGTAGACATCATGAACTCAGACATGCAGCGTGTGGCATCGCGGGCGCCTGCATCATTTGCCGCCCAGGTCAAGGATACCCAGAAGCGTCTCAACCTCCTGTTCGACCACCTTAACAACGAGGAGCTCGTCAAGCCCGACACTATCGACCAGCTTGCGGCTCTGGCCGAGGCTCTCAACGAGAAGAACTACGAGGTAGCTCACAAGATTCAAGTTGAGATTCAGAAGGAGAAGACTGACGAGTGCGGCAACTGGATGGTAAGTACACCTCAGAAGGTGTTGATTAGATCAAAAGGCTAACAGAACGTCAGGTCGGTGTCAAGCGATTGATCAGCATGAGCAAGGCCACTCCATAAATGCCTTGATTAAAGTGCTGGTGGCGTCAGGAATGGGTAGTTGATGATAGCCAGTTGCAACTTTTACGTATACATTAGAATTAAAACGAATGAAGAAATTGTGTTGAAATGCCTGAATTTGATGAGATCCTCTACATTCTTTTGTCATTTCGTACTAAACCCGCAAAGGATTAAATTGGCTATAGTAAAGACGACGAAGACGACTGAGACGACTACAAAGATGACAGCTGAGACGATGACGAATAGTAGTGACTGTAGGACAAGTGGTTTCTAGAGCACGGTAGTCTGAAAATGAGACAATCCAATTTCATTTTATTTCCTGTCCTAGAGCGATTGCTTTTCCTATGGGTTCATACACTCTATTATGTACAATCGTCGTCGTTCAAAGGAGCTGCTAATGAGTTGGTGGCCCTGTCTCCGATAAGATAAGCGCAGGCCATTGTGCCACCACCAAATTATCCATCCACGTCACACGTCACACCCTCATCCTTCCCACGTCCAAACACTCCAAACGACAACAAAATGGCAGACACGGCGCCTGAAGATGCGGCTGCAGCACGCGCGGCAGAACAAGCACGCCTCCGTAAGGCAAAGCGCGAGGCTAAGATTCGTGCTGGCGGCACAGCCAGATTGAACAAGATCACCGGTCTCGGTGGAGGCTTCCAGCGAGGTACGATTCGACCTTGTTTGAAGCAGTAGCTTGCAGAGCTTGCTGCCGTTTCCTCTTTTCCTGTGACTCCGTACTGAGATTGAAAACAGATGATCCCGTCCCATCCCCAGCTGCCTCCTCGACGGCAGATTCTCCCGCTCCCTCCGGCTCGCCAGCTCCCTCTCTGCCCAAGCCAGCGACCGCCGATCACGCCGACCCCGAGGAAATTGACATCTCGCAACACTTCTACGAGCCTGCCACCACCCCGCGCCCTTCAGGACCTCCTATCGATCCCAACTCGATGAGCGAAGACCAGCTGCGGCAGATGATGCTCGGCTTCGATCGCCCCGGCCCAGGAGCTGGAGGCGCCCCGCCCATGAACCCCTTCGCGGCCGCTGGTGGCATGCCCGGCGCCGAGGACGACCCCTTGATGAAGATGCTTTCACAGATGATGGCAGGCGCAGGCGGCGCTGGTGGAATCCCAGGTTTCCCGGGTGGTGCAGGGGCTCAGGGTTTCCCGCCCGGATTCCCTGGTATGCCTGGCATGCCCGGCATGCAGACCCCTCAGCAGCAAGCGGACGCCAGCTCCGCATACCTCTGGCGCATCCTGCACGCCGTCTTCGCAATCTCTCTCGGTCTCTACATTGCTCTTTCTACAACCTTCACCGGCGCCAAGGCCGAGCGCGAGCACACTGCGCTGGCATACAGCTACCCCGTTGGCAGCGATGAGGCGGTCACGGACGTGAATAGTATGGAAAAGGGTCGAGAAGTGTTCTTCTGGATGTTTGCTACAGCTGAGGCTATTCTTCTGACTACGAGATTCTTCATCGACAGGGGCCGCGCGCCGCCTAGTGGGATTGCCTGGACCATCGTCTCGTTCTTGCCGGGTAACATCAAGACGTACGCTGAGACGTTGCTGCGGTATGGTCAGATCTTTGTCACGGTTCGGAGCGATATCCTTGTCTGTATTTTTGTGCTCGGAATCTGCTCTTGGTTCCGTGGTTGAGGATGGCATTCATGGCGTAGTATTAACATAGCTTAACATGGTCAATACTACATCTGAAGCCCCAGTTTGAGTCACGGAAGGTCACGATAACCTATAGACGCGTATTGTCTGAATTTAGTGATTGAATTGCTTACGTCTTGAAACTAGAAGCAATGTATCGTGCAGCAGAGCTTCACGATTGGGGGGAGCAAAGTAGAGGCACCAAGCGAACAGATCAATGTATTATGCGTGAGTCTATAATGACTGTACTATTATCATTGGATCGGCAGTCGGTTTCTGGCCGATAGCTGAAGAAGCTTTTGAGTCCCATTTGAACAATCAGAGATCAAGCACGTCATACATTGCCTCCCTTTACCTTCGGAGCGAATTTGCCTCGTTTGGTTCCCGTGGACTTTGTCGTTGTTGTATCTTCAGCCACTGGGTCAGGGTTCTTCGTCCCGCATAACTGTACGTCAGTACGCGGGCAGAACCCGAACGTTTGTGACGAAGTTACAAAATCGCCAGACGGATCCAATTGCTGTTTTGACTCCGTGGTCGGCCGGCTGCTACTCATATCGCATTTTAAGTTGCCCTCACACACCGAGAACGCTGCACAGCTGTTGGTACAGACGCTGACCCGGACTCGTCCGTCGCTGCAGCTCGTAGGGAACGTCTTGCATTGCCCGCCCGGGCATTGGCCTTGGACGTTCGGATCGCAGACCTTCAACTCCACATTGTTACCTGTCCTAGGCTGGCCAGCCGGTAGGCCGTCGTAGGAAATAGGATCATAGTCGGTGGTGAAGGCTGTCGCCGACTCCGGTGAGGGTGCGCGAACGTCAGAACGGCTGGGAGGGGCCTTGGGCGCGCCGTCGGCGGTCCTGGATGTATACCCTGTCGAGCCCTCCACGCAGAGGCTGGGGTCCTCGAAGGCGGCGCGCGCGACGTCGTGCCACAGAGCCGACATGTTGTACACGTTATCGAGGGTGAAATACAACCTGCAGTCGGCCGCGGCGTAGCGGAACTGGAGAGGGGTGGAGACATCGTCCTCGCGCAGCTGGTCGCGGAGGTTGAAGCCGGCGTAGTTGATGTAGATACCTGTCTCGTTTCTGTTGGCGGGCAGACGGGCCTTTGCCGTCTCGTTTAGTTTTCTGGCCCACGAGATGTCGATGTCTAGGTCGTCGCTGTAATACATGCGCATGCCGCGTGTTCCGCTGGCTGCTTGCATCGGGCCTGGCTTAGGCGCGCCGCCCACGACGACAGTCCGGGCGCCACCCTGGGTTGTTGCGAGTTCGACGAAGATGGCACAGGCGGAGGAGCAGGTTCCGTCGGTGAGCTAGGGGGATGGGGTGTGAGATAAAAGACCATTGAGTAAGGGTTTAACAAGTTCGAACTTACGATAACCACATCTTCAGGGGCCCACACAGCTTCTTTCCTTTCCGCATCGTCCTCATCCAAGTAGCGATTCAGAATCCATCCGTCGAATGCAGCAGCGTGGAAATTCGGGTTCTTGAGGTCATATTCTTCCTGCGATAAACGGTTAGTACAGTCCACGTGCGAAGCGCCACGCCAGTCGACGACTTACAACGAGAGAGAAGTTTTCATCCTTCTCCTGTCTGGGACCTTGATACTCCTCCCAAGAGGTGAAGTTGACTCCCGTGTCGGCGTTGACTTTTGTTGTAATTACCCACTCGTCCGCCATGAGAGCCAGGGCGTTATCCCTCTGCGTCTCGTTACCAACCGCCCACCGCTCGTAGATGCTTGTCGTGGACGAGCCCAGAACGTTTCCCAGCTCGTGGCTACGTCGCTGACTTCCCGTGAACGGGTCGATTCCTGGGAAGAGTTCCCGGAAGAGTAGCAATGCGATGCCGGTAGAGCCGCCATAGTTCTTCTGCACGTCGACAATGATGTGTGAGAGTCCCCTTTCCCGAGCACCGTCCATGAAGTCCGCGAGCGACTGGCTGAAATTGCCAAAGTCCCAGTCGTATTGTTCGAAATGGGGGATGCTGATCACTCCGGTCGATATATCATCGTAGAAATACCCAGTGATAATGCCGCCACCGTAGAGACCCAGGTCGAACTGGACGATGTCTGGGTCTTTGGGGAAGGCACCATAACTTGCCTGGTTCCAGTTGTCCGTCGCCCCGGTGCCGTCGGTTCCGTTAGCGACATCTGATACTCCTTCCACAGACGTATTTCCAGAGGGCTGTCCTCCAAACACTACTGGGAGTGGAACCTCTTCGTAGGATGCAGGCAGTAATCCAAGGACGAAGAAGTTGTAGAAGTCACCCCCTGTCGTTAGGGGACCGGTGAACTCGGGGTTGTTATAGATGGCGGCCCAGGACGTCTCCCAAACTGTCTGATCTTCACACGTGAAGTTCAAAGTCTTGCCAGGGTAAAAGGTGCTTTCACCGGCGAAGATGCTGTAGACCCCATGGATGTCCTGGACCGGGCTGTCCATGAGTTCGTTCCAATCGGCATGGGGTTCGAGCATGCCGACGGATTGTAGAGCCGCAAATTCGGTCAGAAAATCCATTGCTGGTCGGCCGTTGATGTGGGACACAGCGGAGATGTAGGGTTCAATGCCTTTGGTTATGTTGTTTCTGCGATTAATAACGTCGCCTGTTTTATCAAAGTTAGCCATCAGAAGCTTGTCATAGCAGGCTGGAATTCATTGTCCGTACTTGCAAAGTAGACTTTTGGGATCTCCTTCCCGTCGATGGATGCCGTGACGAGAGGCCACGGGCTGGCGAAGGAGAAGGCGGAAAGCACGCCCGCGAACAGATCGACGTGGGCATCATGGACCGAGTAGACGAGGTACTGTAAAGTAGCCTCGAAATCGTACTGATTCTTAAAGACGCCCGCCGTAACATTCTTCTTCAGATCTTCCAGTCCCTGCATAAGGTCAAACGCAGGCTGTTGATAGCCTTCCGGCGGATCTTTGAGGTACGCCAGGGTGCTCTGGAACTGCATCGTGGTGTTGTAGTAGTCGATGAAGCGGAGAGCCATTGCCTCGTGGAACGGGACACTGGTCAGGCACTCGTACGCGTCCGCGGCGTAGAAGTAGCGTTGTCCTATCTATATCAGCATCGTCCATCCTACGCTGCGACTCTCGACTCATCTCACCTTTATTGACGGCATCGATGATGCGTCCGCACATGGGCGTTTGCTCAGGCCCATCTTGGCGGCGTGGAAGTTCTCTCGGTCGAGCCGACGGACGTGCAAAAGCAAGACCGCAGCAAAGGCTCAGAAGCACGTTGAAGTGTCCCAGCAACATCGTGGGCGTTGAATGGAGCGCGGTGAAGATGGACCTTGGCAAGAGAGCATCACTCAAGACTCTCTCATACGACGTGGAGGGAATGGCAGCTT